AATGCACCCTTCCCTTCATTTTTTGCCAATTACCGGGGATGCTACAAGCAGCAGACACAAAGGCAAGAGAAAGGGAAACAGGCTGGCTCTGCCCCCCCCTCCCCCCCCCCCCCCTTTATTCTCTTTTTTAGAGGCTTCTGGTAAAGCTACAAAAGCAAATGTTACCTCAGGTTTTGTTTGACTGGGGGTAGCTGGGAACCGCGATAATTTTTTTAGGGGCCCAGTCAAGCTACTGGCCCTTTATACCCAAGCATGTGGCTTATACCAGGCATGTGGGCATTCCGGCCCACAGTTAATTTCTTAGGATGATGGACTGCTTAACTCAGCCTTGTGTCTCTGGACTATCAGCCCGAAAGAACTGAGCTGTTTGAATTACATGTCCATTCTCACACAGACTCCCCACTTTCAGGCATGCTTCGAAAATAAGGCAAGACCCTGAGACTAAAGTCTTTGAAGCTAAGTTCATTATATCAGTTATTTTGGTTTTTGTATTTTCCTACTGGACTTCACTGCCTATTTATATTCATCTGGATAAGGATGCTATAGCAGCAAGGTGTTGTGACAATTTTCACATGCTACTTCTAGATATCACTTAAAGGGCTTAGCAGGACTTTATAATCTTTGACAATAAGGTAAAATTAAGTGTCCTTATTACAACAATCAGAGTGATCTTATACGAGCTAAGGAATATGGTATCTAGAAATCAGTGTATTCTATAAAGTAATAAAGATTACTATAATTTTTCTCTTTAAAAATTTTTCTCTTTAAAAATTAAGGCAAAGGAAACAAAACAGGCCCTTGACTTGCTGTCCAGCAGTTGTAGGTTACCTCATTAACATTGATCTTTGACTTTGCAGAAGATTCTAGAAAGGCACAGTTACACCACTGTCTTGCTAAATTCTGGCCTTGTTCTTTGCCAACCACTCGCTCATCTTCCAGGTCACATTTATTGCCAACCAAAATCATTGGAACCTGTGGGAAGGAAAAAACAAAATCAACAACGCACTCACTACTCAGCAATCACCTGCTACCAACTGGAACATATTCGTATGGTATGTGTCATGAAGTACCTAAGAAAAGGTACTGTGTGTGTGACTGTTTGGGTTAGGGGAGAACGGAAGGAGGGGAAAAAGACCCAAAATTAAGGATGAGATCCTATGAGATTCATATACCAAATTATTTTAAGAATATGATCCCAAAATTCTTATGTGGACTACTATTGAATTCCAAGTGGAAAAACCTGAGGAAAAGGAGCTTCCTGCAATACAGAGAAGAATGGATACACTAGCCTTAAGTGCTTTAAAGGCTCCACTTCAGAGGTCTAATAAATGCCAAGAATAGTGACAAGACCAACATTCTCAGTAGCTTCTACTTCCGCACTTAACATTTAGACTTGAAGACCATTTCAGTGACACAGTAAAGGACAGTTAAGAATAAAAATAAAGCAGCCAGCTAGGTTTCTCCTTTTCCTCTATCACAGGTGCATGGCTATATCTAACACACCTACTTCCAGTAAACATACAGCTAACGTGTTAACTTCCTCAGTGAAAAGGAGTCCAGAGAACAAAGTCATGTGCTTATGAGGCAATGGTATGATATAAAATATCAGAGACACAGTAGACCTTCTGCCTAAAATAAGTAATTGTCATGGGTAAGATTAAAAATACTAGGCCTATTCAATTCCATCTTTTCTCTTTTATTACATGAGATACAGGGATTAACATTGCCAGAACTCAGTGATCTGCACATAACAGTCTATGAAACAGAACTTTTCTGGATAAATTAGACATAGGAAGGAAGAAAACTATTCATTAGGTTAAGGTAGTCATGAGTCATACAGTGTAAATTCCTCCCACCTGCACTGCTATCAAGGTTAGGGTCCTGAGCACATGATTATGCTCCTATTAATAGAGAGAAAACACAAAACCAGAAAGGTACAACTGAAAATTTCTATTCTAATTTATATAACTCAAAAGGAATTCACCATAATCCCAAACTGAGTTAAACATGTAAAATTTTGTTTTTACAAAAAGAGAAGAAGGTGTATACTACCAACAAAATGCTATTTATGGTGGTGCATGCTTAAAATCCCAGTCCTTAGAAGGCTGAGACAGGAAGACTAAGTGCCCAAGGCTAGCCTGGGCTACATAGTGAAAATCAAACTAAACCAAAATCTATATAATAGAGTTTTAGAAATAAGAGAATAAACCATTACGATTCTTAACGTTCTCTGAGCACTACTGATATTAAAGCTCGACTTGAGTCTCAGTTCTTCTGTGAAGTAGCTGACTTCTTACAGCAGAGTGTGAACTTTACCATACATGTCCTCACTTCCTAAACATCTCAGCATAATTCGCATTAATTCTGAAAGTTAAAATTCATTTTCAGGGGTTCTTTTTGACATGTGGTAGATATCTTCCAAACCTTCTACTGATGAGTAAGCACGTTATTTGGCTTCTGAGAGAGGGTAGTGTGTCCTACCGAGAGAAAAATACTTACATCTTCTGTGTCTTTAACCCGCAAAATCTGTTCTCTCAAGTCTTGCAAGTCATTAAACGTAGACTGAGCTGTAATTGAATATACTAGTGCAAACCCTTGGCCATTCTTCATATACAAATCCCTCATTGCTGTAAATTGCTCCTATAAAAAAATTTCAAAAAAATTTTAAGTATATACATTTTTTTAATGTATACTGGAATCATTTTAAACAGAATAACCTCAAGTAAGGACCTACTCTTGATTCTTTCACTACATGCTATCATAAAACATCTTACATAGTTTCTAGCAACTCTGAGGTAAAAGTTCATGTTTGGTAACACAAGTGACTAGAAGCAATGTAGGAATACCTAGCCACCTCCATTTGTTTCTGTGTGATTTAGAAGAAATGTAGTAATTCCTTTTTAATACACTTAACTGATTTTGTTTGGAATTTTATAATATAACCACCACCCAAGTAGAAACAATCAAAGATACAAATCCAGTACTGAGCTGTGTCACCCAGCATAGTCAGTCTCAAGTATCTCTCCACTGACACTTTATCATCTTAACAATCACTACATTCCCAACTCTAGACCAGACTATTTTCTTTTTTTTGGATCAGACTTTTTTAAAAGGAGCTTTTTAATGTACTTTTATCCCCCAGATCTCTGCCATTTCAAATTCTTAGAAAAGATATGAGAACAGCACAGTGACTGTCTCCTCAGACACATTAATGGTTAACATCTGGCTATGGCGCTAAAGCCACAAAACTAAAATTATTTCTTTTTGACATGAAACCCATTTTCTCTTTTTTAAAAAAATTTTTATTTTTATTTTCTGTGTATGAGTGTATTGCCTGCATGTATGTAAGTGTACCTGTGTCATACAATGCCTACAGAGGTCAGAAAGGGCAGCAGAATCCCCTGGACCTGGAGTTACGGACAGTGTTAAGCTCCCATGTGGTGCTGCAAACTGAACCAGTCTTCTGCAAGAGCAGTCAGTGCTCTTAACCACTCAGCCATCTCTCCAGGCCCCTTGAAACCCATTTTCTCGTATCTGGAGAAATCAGTACTCTATGTTATAACTATAAGCAACAATATAGAACATACTCTATCTAAAAAGGCTTTGTATTTTATATATAGCATTAAGAAGGCACATACAGCAGGATATTAAAAATGTACTACGTTAGGAATTTTGTCAGTACAAATTTTGGATCCTCCTATCTCTGGGTGCACTGAACATAAGACCTTAATGCACAAGGTTCTGCAAGCTTTCTGCAACTTTGTCTTGCTAACTCCACTGTCACTACCTCTATTTTGTTGACTCTATCTAAAATAGTTCCAGTTGTCCCTCCTGGCTGATGCACTCAATGTGTATTCCAAGGAGCCAGTCCCTAGCCTTAGTTCTATTTTAGTCTTCTGAGTGCCTAGAACTTAGGCACACAAAAATCATGAGGGTTTTTTTTTTTCCTGGATTTTTCATTTATAAACTTTTGTTAGAAATTCTAGCACTAGTACTCCTACCACTTTCTCTTGAGATTATGATCTTTGCTACTTATTAATTAAAAAGAGTAAACACAAACAGGCAACTCAAGTTTTGAAAATTCAATCTAAGAACAGCCCTGACAGTACTGCTGAGGTTGGTGTTCTCTGAGAGTGCTAACTTCTGTCCTAAGGACATTCTACAAGACTCATGCGCTCAACTGCTGCAGTAGCACTAGAGATAGGCTGGCGGGTAGGAGAAACAAAAATCTCCTGGGGAATGTACATGAAAGAAAAACAAGTCAGAAGTAGACCAGATGACAATGCTACAGAGAGAACTAAAGCAGAGGAGGAGTTTCTTTGGAGTGAGAGCAGAAGATTATATTCTAATGGAGGGGGTAGGGAACAACTCATGGATGCTAGGAGGGCAGGAAGGAGGATCTCTCCTACGAGTATGTGGAGAGAGCCCCAAGCTAAGGGAATAAATGGACAGGGCCCAAGTAGAAAGCATTTGAGACGCTGTAGGAATCAGCTAGTGTGTAAAGGAGGTGAGGTGAGACAAGGAAACATCTAAACTTGAACAATATTCTGAATTTAAATACTTTTTTTTGTTGTTTTTTGTTTTTTTTGAGACAGGGTCTCCCTGTAGCTCCAGCTGTCCTGGAACTCACTATGTAGACCAGGCTGGCCTTGAACTCACAGAGATCTGCCTGCCTCTGCCTCCCAAGTGCTGGGATTAAAGGCATGCGCCACCATGCCCGGCTTAAAGACCTTTTTTAAAAGTACTTACAGCACATATCTTACTTCAATATAAAAAGTCCTCCCCCACCAAAACACATCTGAGATTATGCAGTTTAATTCAATATACAATTCAGTCATGATATATAGGCATTAAGCACATTACAAAACAATTTCATAAACCTATGAAAAATTAAGAAGTCTTATATTTACAAAATTATAGAAAAACATCAGAAGGGTCATTTTTACACAGAAAATTATTTGGTTGGCAAAATCTCCTCACAAATTAAAATTTGTTAAAGGAAAAAAAAGAAAATCCTTACTGTCCCTGCTGTATCCAGAATTTCCAGCATACACTGTTGACAATCTACTTCAACTTGCTGTGGGGGCAAAAAGAAGAAAAAAGGAAAAAGTAACATCAAAATGTCATTCCGTTTTCCTTCCCCCTCTTCATCCCAACTACAAAGTGTTTTTCCACTTGGATTCACAATAAAGAACAGGTGTTTTCAAGCATACTCTAAAACTATAAGGAAAATGGACAGATTTTTTAATTTAAGAAAAACAGCAGATACAGTTCTAACAGAAAAAATGCACATAATATGCACATTTATATTACCTTTGTGGAAAGCAAACAATTAAAGACCTCAAGTCAGATGTGGTAGTGCATGCCTATAATCTCAGTACTAGGGAAGCTGAGGTTGGAAGATCTCAGTTTAAGGCCATCATGGGATACATGGAGAAACCCTATCTCAAACAAAATAAAACAAGAGACTGGGCTTCACTGTACCATATAAATGGGTCATAAGATATACAAAACAATTTTGAGGAACAGAAAAATTTGCCAACTTATTATATGTAAGTTGTTAAAATTTTGTTAACATATAGTAGAACATAAGGAAAATTAAGTGTTAAACTAAATAGCACTGAGCTCACACATCCCTTAAGATTTTAAGGGCTCTTTAGAAAAACTGTGTAAACGATGAAATTTAATACACTGAACTCCATTTTCCCACTGTCTTGTAAAAGATGACTGGCTGAAAGAAAGTATCAACTATCCACTGTGTGGAAAACTTTAATATAGAAGGGATTAAGAAAATTAGTTCCTCAGCATTCTAGATTTTGCTTTGTGGTTAAAGACTTAACTGCAATTTATTTGAGGTACATTTCAGTAGAGCAATCCTGTCCTCTAAAAATAAACATATTGCTCTACTGGCTCTTGAACCCTGCCTGTCAGGCAGATTCCCTACAGGTCTTTTCATTTTGCCTTCCAATCAGACAGTGATTGATAAGAAAGTGCCTCTACTGGGGGCTGCAAACTTGTTACCCCACCCGGCATGGAGCAAACAGTACCAGGCAGAGAAACCTGTAGCAGAATCTGTTCAGGAAATAATGCATTAAGCCTATAGCTTTGCAGGTATGTAGAGCAAAACTGTAATACAACTTGGAAGAGAATGAAACTGTTCACGCATACTCCCTGAAAAGCTTAATTTAACAAAAGTTATAGCACTATCAAAGATTCTGACAAAAAGATCTTAACAAAGCAGGAAGTGGAGGGATAACCTGGGCTGCCTTTAGAGTCCCTTATAATACCTCACCCCCCAAAGGATACTTGGAAAATAAAATCATGAAAAAATTCTTTTTAAAGAGCCATTTTAGTCTTACCACAAAATTGAGGGAAAAGTAGAGATTTCCCATATTCTTCCTGTGTATACCATGCAGAGCTTCCCTTTTATCAACATCCTGCTGGAGACTGGACATTTGTCACAACTGATGAAACTGCACTGATACACTGTTATGACCAAAGGCCCAGAGTTTATATTATAGCCGGCTTTTGATATATGTTCTGCGGGGTTTGAGATGTACATGACAGGCATTCCCATTTTATCACATACACAGTCTAAAAAATTTTGATAGTCTAAAGAGCTGGCTGGCCTGGAACTTATGCAGACCAGGCTAGACTCCAACTCATAGAGATTCACCTGTCTCTGCCTCCTGATGCTGAGGCAAAGGTGTGTACCATCACACCTGGCCTTAACAGATAAGCACATTTACTCACTCGATAGCTTTAATCATGTAAGTAATCTTAATTCTTGTTAACAAAGAGTTGAAAATATGCCCATTATTTATAGATAGTATTTTAAAAAATACTTTATATGTCGATATATGTATATATATATTTTTTTCATGTGAGTATATTGCCTGCATGTGTGTAAGTGCACACATGTCATGCTATGCCTGCAGAAGTCAGAAGAGGGTGTCAGATCCCCTGGAAGTGGAGTTAGGATGGCTGTTACCCACCATATGGGTGCTAGGAATCAAAGCCAAGTTCTCTGCAAGAGCAGTCAGTGCTCTTAACCCCTGAGCCAACTCTTCAGTCCCTCATATGAAGTATTTTTCTATTAAAATTTCTCACCAGGAAAATGGATACATTAAAGAACAAATTATTAACCACCAGCAGAACACAGAGCTCTCTATACTTTTGTATCTAAGCAGTATTTTGAGGAATGTTGTGTGTAAGTGAAACTTCTATAAACAGACACAGCACATTTCTATCTTTTCTCAAAACTATCTAAAAAAGCAATTCCACAGATCAAGTCTGAAAGCTGTAAGGACTACTCATAAGTATGCGAACAGAATTTCACATCTTACCTTCCTGTAGGAGTCTTCTATCGTTGGGTCATATTTTTCAACAAAAATTCCCTGAACAAACTGAACTGTCTGGGAGGAGAAAAAACAAACAAACCAGAGTTAAGGACTTAGTTTGTTACTTAAAGTCACAAAGTTTTAAAGAATAATTGAAATGTTAAAACTCTGGAAAATGAATGTAAATCATTTTACAATAAGGATGCATATATAACTAAGAAAGCACTTATTGCAAAAAAAGGTGGCCATGCTAAAAGCTTACTGACACTTCTACTACACTGCTAAACAATGTCACATGAAGTGTTAAAGTAGAGATACAGATATCTAGCATATTAAAAAATAAAAAACCATCCATATTCAACTTGTCTCTTTGTGTGTGTACAGTAACTTTTATCCTATGCTCTCAAAGGAGAGACACAAAGGTTCTAATTTTTATATTTTTTAATTTTGAAGGAAAAGGAGATCAGGGAATTTAAATTTACTGAATACCTTTTGTTTCAGGCACAGATTGCTTTTAATTTATAATCACATTTAAGTTTAACTTTTACCCCAGAAATCTTTTCTCATTTGCCAGTTGAGCTTCGAATATATCATCTTTCTGATTCTTAAGTCTTACTTTTTCCACTGATAAATACTACCTAGTCACAGATAAGAGGGAACTTATAAGTAATTCCAGAAAAAAAGACCAGGCAATGTGTTCTAACACAGACTGGGTGCAGTACTACAAATGGTTTCAGGAATCCACTGAAGGCCTTGGAACATATCCCTTGCATATATTGTTCTTTTATCTGTAAGGCATCTGTGTGCATACCACAAAGAATGCATTTCATTATTCAATAAATGACAAGAACAGATGACAGTACTGAGATATTTCCTAGATGGCTTTAAAACAGGGTCAGAATATCACTGCCTAATAAGCAAAGGTAAAAATGTGAACCAAGGTAATCTATACTAAAATTACTCAAGGGAATACTTCATATACTTTTAACTTGAGTTAAACATTAACTTGAGTATAGTAAACATTTCTCTTACTAAGGCCTTATTATTCAAAAAAATTCAGGCTATAATCACAACAAGAACTTTAATCATCATTTCTTCCCTCCCTCCTCTCTTGTCTCCCTGTGTTGGGGATATAATCCAGGACTTCAGGCATACTAGGCAAATATTCTACTACTGAGCTATATACCCGTCTTTTGTGTGTGTGTGTGCAGGCCAGAGGAGGGTATCAAGTGTTCCTAGTCTATCATTCTTTGCCTTAGTCCTTCTAGCAAAGGTCTTTCACCAAAGTTGGAAGTAGGCTGGCAACCAGCAAGTCCCAGAAATCCTCCCCTTGCCTATACCCCTTGTGCCCTGCCACCTGCTCCATGGCAGCACTGGGTTTATAGATGTGTCCGTGTCCATGCCCAGGTTTTCATGTGGTGCTGGGGATTCGCACTCAGGTCCTCATGCATGCATAGCAAAAGCTCTTACCCACTGAGCCATCTCCTCAGGCTTACAGTCTTTTAATCCTAACTTTTATAGGATTTAATCACCTTATCTTTTTATTATGACATAATTTAGATAGGAAAAAGTCTGATATGACTTTCTATTAGGCTTTAGACTAGAGAAGAGGGTCTCAAACTATGGTCTAGGGCATGAGGTCTTAGTCCTACTAAGATGTACTATCCTGGTCTTATAAATTTATATTGGTGTTTTCTAAGGGGTATAGAACATAAGCTACTCCAAGAGCGTAGCTGCAAAAGGCATGAAAACCCAAGCACCTCCCAATAAGCCAGGTACCTGTAAAATAAAAAACAACCTCATACTCACCACTTCTTTTTACTAAGAGTAATCTTTCATTATGTCTCTGACTTTCATCTCTCAAATTCTCAAGGACATCTCATTCATATCAATTTTAATTTTATTCCTTTCTCTTCCATACTGGATCTGCTCCTTCTTCTCCCTCCTATGCCTTTACTTTCCTATACTAGATTACTGCTCTAGTACTTTCAATTTCCAAACAAAATGGAAAAACTCTTAATTCCATAACCCCTCCAGTTTCTGTTCATTTCTCTGCTCTCTCTCATGACCACATTTCCTTAACTGTCTACATGGTAGCTCCATTTCCTCAGCTCTCATTTACTCTTTAAACTGTACCCAATATGGTTATGGCACCATCGTCATATCAAAGCTGCTTCTTTTATGAGGTTCAACTACCTCCCTACATTATTTCTCTTTCTTCCTTGAGTTCTGAGTATTCAAGTAGATACCTCTTCACATTCAAACAGTACAAGATATCTTCTTCTAGCAGGGCATGAAGAAGAGTGCTTTTAATCCCAGCACTCAGGAGGCAGAGGCAGGTGGATTTCTGTGAATTCCAGGCCAGCCTGGTATACATAGTGAGTTCCAGACCAGCTGGGGCTACAGGGAGACCCTGTCTCAAAAAGCGCCCCCCCCCAAAAAAAAGTAACTGATGATATATGTAGGTTACATAACAAATCATATATTTTATAAGTATCTCTCTTCAGCATCTATCTTTTCAAAAAATAAAACAAATGGTAGTCCACTCTGGTACCTTTCTTCTCTCTCTGATATAGCTTAGATATCATTAGGTCAATAATACAGAGCTATTTCATTCTTTTGTACAGTATTCCACTCTATGTGTTAAGATTTACTTAACTAGTTCCAGTTCCTACTGATAGGCATTTAGGTTTCAAAATTCTTGTGATTATAAAGAATGTTGCATGAACACCTTTAAGGGACCATTTTGTATAAGTGAACTTATATTTGGGATACATTTCTAGAAAGGGAATTCCTGAATTGAAAGTTACATGAAAAACCGAGTGTGCTGGTACATGCTTGTAATTCCAGCACTTGGGAAGCTAAAGTAGGAGGGATTACAAGTTCAAGGTTGGCTTGGGCTAACAGTGAGACCCTGTCTCTAAAAAACCCTCTCCAAATTACATGAATTTGAAACATCATTCCCACAGAAGTGTGAATTTAAATTCCTAACAGTCTAACAATGTAATTCTCATGAAATTAAATATGATCAATATAGTCAAGGTACCTAAAATTGCATCACAAGCCTCTCTTTTAAACTCTTACCCTGAAGATCCATTTGATATATTTTACTTGAACATCTTTCCTTCTTAATTTCTATTCCACTCCAGCACTAAGTGATTTTAATTCTACTTATTTAATATTTTTTAAAAAGATGTTTTATTATTTTGTTTATGTGTATGAATGTATTGCCTGCATGTATATAAGTACACCCATGTTGTGCACTGCCCCCAGAGGTCCAAAGAGGTAACCCCTGGAACTGGGATTAAGACAGTTGTTAGCTGCCATGTGGGTGCTGAGAATTGAACCTGGGTCCTCTGTATGAACAACCAGTGCTCTTAACCACTGAACCATCTCTCCTATTCCTTAAACATCTACAAGTATCTTCTTCACTACCATGGCCCTAATGCAAGCACTCATAAACAATCATCTATTAGTTAATTAGCTCCCAATTTTCTCCCATCTTCTAAATAACAAAGAACAACAGAAGTTTAGTAATTAAAACACAGCTCCCAGGGGCTGGAGAGATGGCTCACCAGTTAAGAGTACTAACTGCTCTTGCAGAGGACCCGGGTTCAAGGCCCAGCACCCACATGGCAGCTATGAACCATCTTTAACTGCAGTTCCAGGGGAATCTGATCCCCTCTTCTGACCTCCTAGGCACTGCACGGCATGATGCACTCACATATATGTAGGCAATACACTCAAACACATAAAGTAAAAATAAAATAAAATAAAACCCCACAGATCCCATTCACCTGTTTCCTGTCCCCTTTAAAAACCTTACCCTCATGCCTGCTCACTGTTCTTCCACATGACTTCCAAGCTTTCTGTTTGCTTACTTCCTGCTACTCATTACTGCCCCACTACCCTGCTCACTCTTCCTAGCTATTCTGGCCTTTCTTACATTTGTCTAAGCTAACTTGAAATGGTCTCTCCCTTAACAATCTGAATTTTTCTTTCAGAATCTCTCTCACAATAGAATCAAGTGATTCTCTATTTAAGTGTGCTTATTCTAGCTCCTCCTCTGTCGTACTGTAGGCTCCATGAGAGGTTGTTCTGTTCACTGTTGTGACCCCAGAGTCTGGCATGGTAGAAGCTTCATAATTACATATAGAATGAATTCAGTATACATGCAAAAAATAACTTCTATACAAGCTTGGGGTTGAGGCAAAGGAGAATGTACTACGCTAGAATCTGTAATAAATACTTTTGTTCAATGGAATGTCAACTTCCTTGAAAATGAGAGAAAGCATGTTCTACTTTGAATCACAAATGCTGGTGCTTGACAAATAAGGTAGCCAATAGTTAGTAAATAAAGAAATAAGTGAACGACCAATATAAAGCTACTGAATGATTCCTTGTCTGTGTGGGCCAGATATGGAGTTCATAAAGAATAATGAGACCTGTTCTCTTTAGTAACTTGAAGTATGAAAGCAAGCAAATGTCATCATTCTGCACGTGTTAAACTGATCAGTTACAGCTGGGTGGCTAACTTACCAGAGCAGACTTCCCTACGCCGCCTGAACCAAGGACCACTAGCTTGTACTCACGCATGATGTGCTCTGTTTAAATACTGACGATCTGAAAAACAAAAATGAAGAGAAAAATTTAATACACCTACAAGAATAGCCTAAGAATGCAGCATCATATCAAGTATAGGTTTTGCTTTTTAATTTTTTCCCTTGACTTTATCAAGTGGACAGCAGACACTACACAGCAAAAAATCATATAGATTTTAACAATGGCTTATAGGACTACTGAATTTTGCTGAAGATTATATAATCTCTGACTAGGTTTCAATCATTAGCTTTTTTATTTTGAAGAGCTGTCGGAAAATGGGATATTAAAACGAGCATTATGCAGGGTATGGTGGCGCATGTCTTTAATCCCAGCACTTGGGAGGCAGAGGGAGGTGGATCCTCTGTGAGTTTGAGGCCAGCCTGGTCTACAGAGTGAGTTCCAGGCAGATGGAGCTACAGGGAGACTCTGTCTCAAAAAGACCAAAAACAACAACAACAACAACAACAACAACAACAACAACAAAAAACCCCAGCACTTGTAACTATAATCATGAGCCTAACTATTTGTAAAGCTATAATTTAAACCATCAATATACTTTCTTGGAATATTTGCTCATGAGCTTTAATATAATGTGCAAGCTCTCCCATTCATGATTCAAGGACTTTCTTCTCCCCTTAGAGACAAGAGTTATGCAATTTGGGAGTCTTTTAGATAGACCCACTGAAGAGGTACTCCAATTGCCTCACCCTGTGTCCCTGTTCAGCATGGAAGCCAGAGCGGTCAGTGTCCCTACTCCCTACTGGCAATTTGAGTAAGCCCTTCAGAGGATGGCATGATAAGAATAGGAGGTAGGAACTGGCTAGGCAGTTAGGGTAAAAAGACCCCAAAGAAATGTAGCCAGTTTCTCGGCTAAAAGTCAAAATGTCCTTGGGCCTGTTAGTAACATACTCTGTTCCAAAGGCCAAAAATATCCAAATGTCAAAAGTACTTGGGAGCTCTTCTTTTTTTTTTTGTGCAGGGAAAAGTGATGGGGATATATGGGAGAAGTTGGAGGGGAGGGAGTGGGCATGGATTTGATCAAAACACCTTATATATGCATGTATGAAATTCTCAATAAAGTTTTTGTAAAAATTTAAAAAAATATATCATGTGCATGCTATTTTACTCATCTAAAATGCTGCATAACAATTCTGTACTATTTTATTCTTTGTTACACTAGAGTTGAGCTGTTAAAATGTCTGCCTGAAAATTGTTAGGATATAGACAATAGACAAGATGGCACTGTCCACCTGCACTGCCAGAAACCAGTAATGTGCTCCACTAGGCCTGAAGTTCTATAGAAAATAAATAGAATCTAAATTTAAAAAGAAAAATCTCCATGATTATCTTACAAAGTGAAAAGCCAGGAAATAATTTCCAATGGTCATTATGGAGTAACAAAGGTGAGACTTTTCTAAACTTCTAACACTAAGGGGGCGGGATTATTTTACATACTAGATAATAAATAATGTAGGGCTGTGATTTCTGAGAGACAGAAAAAGAGAAAAGAGTGAAATAAGACTTCCATGTTCTGGCTTTCTGCCTAAAGACACTTTTCAGGTTGTGGTACAGGAAGAAAGAATTCAAGCAGAGCTTTGGAATAAACAAAAAAAAAAGGAAGCTATGCATAGAAAATTCCAGAAATCTATAGCGTCTGTGACCAATAGTATATGGACTTAAACTCCATGAGATAAAGCAAAGAATAGAGACCTATAAGCTGCAAATCTCGCCATGTTCATACAGTGCTAGGAAATGAGGTTCTTTCTTCATCAGACACCAGACATTCACCAGAAGCCTTAGGCATTTTACACTTTGGTAGAATGCCCTGAAATTAGGGTGAAATGTATTTATTAAAACAACTCCAGAAGCTGGATGTGGTAGCGTTGGGTCTAACCCCAGTTACTCAGGAGGCTAAAGTCAAAGGACAGAGTTCAAGAGTCAGTCTAGCAACTTAGTGAGATCCCATCTCAATAAATCAATGAAAGCTGATGAAGATGAAAGGGGGAAGGGGAAGAAGGAAGGCTGAAAAAATGAGAGGCAGGAAAAATAAAAGAATAGAACCATAGGACAATATCAAGCTATCAGGCAGTCTAATATGTTTAACTGGAAGGTAGCTTACTATCAGAAGAAATGATGATGACAGTCTCCCAATGTGATAAAAAACTATCCACCCACAGATCTAAGAAATTCACTCAACAAGCCTTCTTCAGGTAGTATAAACACAAAGAAAATCAGAGTAAAGCATAATAACTGAGTTCCTGGAAAGCTGTCAAAGAGAGGAAAAAAAATATTCCAAGTCACCAGAGGGGGCTGGTGTTACACTAACACTCAAAGACTAAGGCAGGAGGATAAGGTTTGAGACAGTCTGGGCTACGTAATGAAACTGTGCTTCAAACAACAGAAGTTTAGATAGAAACACAATTGAACAGAGTTAGGAAATTTGTATTTCTGTATGATGGCACATGCCTGTCATCTCAGCTCTTGGGAGTAGAAAAGGGAATGAAGAGTCTAAGGACATTTTTAGCTACATAAGACCCAGTCTCAAAAAAAAAAAAAAAAGTCTGTGTTCCTGAAAAATAAAATTTGTATTTGTTTTTAAAACACAATCCCTGCCAAATCTCTGGTAATTTATATCTTTGACATAAATAAAAAAAAGAGGAAGTTCTGTGAGAACACCCCTGCCTCCCTGGGAAGTTTGCGCTCCTGCCAGATAAAGCTTCAGAATCTCTTCCCGGGGACTATGATACGGTGTGGTGCCCAAGGTAGTGCCATGGTGTCTGTGGCATAGGTAAGTAAGTACTTCCTTTCTGCAGAAACAGAGTAGCAGAGTACAAGCCTGATGTGGGGAATCTCCTGCCCTGAGTATTCAGCAGTGAAGGCCTAAGGAAATGGACTTGGATTCAAGCCTCTCAATTCACGTATCTCATTCAATAGTAAGGCATCAGGCAATGAAATCTAGAATGTAGGTCTTCAAACTTCAAAATGTGTCTCTCAGAAATTAAAGCCTTCAAAAAAGTCTGAATATATTAATTAGTTGGATTTAATTATTCTACAATGTATAAATATACCAAAATATCACATCATACCTCCCAAATACATACAATTACTTGCCAATCTAAGAAAACAGATGATGACTAACAGGAGCATAAAGCCTCTTTTAGGGTGATAGAGGAAAAAAATCTTTTTGCAGTGGTATATACTGCATAGGTATATACACGTATCAAAATTTATAAAGAATGCCGGGTGTGGTGGTGCACGCCTTTAATCCCAGCACTTGGGAGGCAGAGGCAGGCAGAGCTCTGTGAGTTCAAGGCCAGCCTGGTCTACATAGCGAGTTCCAGGCCAGCTGGGGCTACAGGGAGACCCTGTCTCAAAAAAAAAAAAAAAAGACCAAAAAAAATTTATAAAGAGAACATTTAAAATAGGTTAGCTTTATTGTATGCAGATTATGGCTCAACAGATATGATTTATGTTCAATGGGATATTTTCTGAGAATACCAGTTAGTTACACCATGAGACTAAACTAGTCTACGATACAGCTGACAAGTTGGCAGGGGTGATTCTGCCAACATTTACAAATTATCTCCCAGGGGCTAGAGAGATGGCTTAGTGGTTAAGACCACTGGCTGTTCTTGAAGAGGACTGGGGTTCAGTTTCAAGTACCCACATTGTGGCTAACAACTGTTCATAACTCTAGTTTCTGAGGACCTGATACCTTCTTCTGGCCTCCACAGACACTGCATGACACAGGTGCACTAACATATATGCAGGCAAAGCACTCATACACATAAAAAAAATGGGGAAAGTTAGTATAGAAACAAAATTAAGGGTTTAGGGGCAAATGATAGAGCAGGGGAGAGTCCAATATAGTTTATTAATGCTGAGGAAACAACTTGAGCAAATTTCAAAAGCATTAAACATACACCCCACCCCCACCACATAGTTTGGTGTGGTTAGAACATAGGGTCTATTATTTTTTTTTTATTTTTATCTTATGTGTATGAATGTTTTGCCTACAGGTATGTTAAGTGTCCCTGTTCATGGAAAACTTGTAGAGTCCAGCATAGGACATTGACTCCCCTGTAACTGGAGTTACAGATGGTTATGAGCCATCATGTGGGTGCTAGAAATTGAACCCAGGTCCTCTGCAAGAGCAACAAATGCCCTACTGCTGAGTTAGCTCTCCAGCCCCAGAACATAGAATGTGAAGCTGGAGACAGACTTAGGCTCACAAAGGTTCCTGTCATTTTATCTAGTAATCAAAAAGAAAACAGCGCTTTTTAAAAAGAAAGTTATTATGGTTATATTTCTGTTCTGGAAAGATAACTGGTAATATAGAAAATGGACTGAGGAAAAGGGAGACCAACAGTAGGGGGCAGTTAGGAAGCTACTTCAGGTGGGACATGATGGAGACCTGTACAGCAGCATGAGGGCTGAGGAGGAAACAGGGCTTTTCTGAAGGTAAAACTGACAGGACTATGTAACTGACCAGATTATTGTTGAGGAGGAAGAAGAGTAACTCCTAGGTATCTAGCTTGAGCACACAATTGGCTGATAGAACACCTGCAATTAAAGCAGGAAACAGAAAAAAGAACATGCTTTCTTAGAGAATTAAGTGTGATAATCAAATGGGAAATGTAGCAGAATTTCATAGCTGTTTTTAAACCCCAAGTTTGGAAGGGCAGTGGACCAGGGTTCAGACTTAGAGCCATTGTTATGAAAGATGGTAGCTATCAAAACCACAGCAGTGGATGAAATCAACTAAGGAATACTCGGTGAAAAGAAAAGAAATCTAAGAACAGAGCCCTGAAAAATAAGCACATGAATATGCAAAAAACAAACAAACAAAAGGTGAGGTGGAAGAAGTTTGTGCAGGACACAAGGCATCCTACACTTGTATTGGGTGGTTTCTCATTTACATGGATAACATTTCTTTGACAAAGATGGTCCTATCCTTAACCTCTTTTCCAGGCCTCTTGCTCAGGGGATTGCTATCACCATGGCAGTATGTGAATTCACTT